CTAAATCAAACCCTAACTAAACCTTAAATCCTAAACCAAGCTATAAACCCTAGTAATTTCTACAATAGATTCAAACCTCAATAACTAATGAATGAACCGTTGATCTTAACTAAAATTTTGCACACTTCTTAAAAACTAAGTTAAAAACAAGCACAAAAAATTTGAATATGATCGAAATTACAAAATAGACGATAGCCTCAAAAATGTGCTTGAGTATTAGCTAGCCTCCTTCTCCAATCTTGATGCCAATCTCCCAGAGCCAATATCTCTCCTTTTCACTATTCGATTGATTTCAAAATTTTCACACACATAGAAAAAAAAGTCTAATATTCTTTCACATAAATTTCACTCCAATCCAACTAGTAGATTACAAGAAATCTTAAAAACCCTCACTAGACCTAAAATTCTACTTTTTGAGACCTTGATTCACTTAAACCTCAATAATCCTCAATTCAACCGTTAGATCAAGCTCAAATTCAAAACACATATTCAACACAACTATAACCATTAACCCACAAGATTTCATCTATAGATCTATTACAAAATTCTTAAAATCATCCAAAACATAAATCCTATTTTATTTCTAAAAATCCAAGTCATCCAAAATAAACCTTGACTTTGCAAAGCTCTTATAAAGTCAATATAGATCCAAATCACCCAAAACCAATGCTCATAGAAATCCTATCCAATATTATATCAAACCCCACTCTCCAATTTGCCAAAGAGTACCGGAGTCGTCGTCGAGACTCGGTTTTGTGCCTTGGGGTCTGATTTCAATCCTAGTTCATAACTGGCCCTCTTCGGATATCAATATCTAGTTTTTTTAAATAATTTTTGCTAGAATTTACTCTTAACTTCCTCCTAAAGATGTTTATATCATTTAATTTCCTAATCTTCTTTGTTTTGCATTATTTATGGCCCTACGAAGTAAGTAGAAGTCACTTTTCTAAAAAGGTAATATTACTACTAAAAGTTTTACTACCTCCCTATCTTTTATCCATATTTTTCTATTTTATCTTTTAACTTGGCTCTTCTATAATAAGATCCATATTATCATCTTCTACCATATAGTTGTGTTACAACATGACACCGGATTTGAACCCAGGACATTCACTTGACAACTTCTCACCTAATCAATCCCTCTATGCCTTTTGGATGTTTACTAAGATATTTTCTCATAATTCTTAATAATATATATATATATTCATGAAATTCTTATCAATTACTTGTCTCCTTTAATTAGAATATCTCTAATTATTTGGTGAAAGGACTAAATTGAAAGAAAGAAAAGACAAATGAATATGACTATAGCTTATGTTGAATTCCAATGTTTTAGCTTCTACATTCCACCCAGTTTTGATAATTTGCCACTTAAGGGATTAAATAAGGGTGAATTTTAGGATGAGCTATTTGACTTTGTATATGATAAAATTCACACTCTTTACATCTATTTCTAGACGTTTTGGTAGAAAAATCTTTCATGTTAAGTATTTGTAGTCAAACTGAGTTATTTGAAAAGACTTCTTTAACTAAGTAGGGGCCTAACTATATGGAATCAAATTTTCTTGAAAAATCTAATTTCTTAGCATCTTGTAAGCAAACTAATATACAAAATAATTCTTAACTTTATGTCACTTATCAAAGGTAATTTTTCTTCTAACTTAGAAAACAATAGCATCTTTCATTCAAACAATAGTAGGCTTTTTCACTTATTTTTTGTATCTCCTAAGGAGGTTGAATTTGCATGCCAATACAACTATGCACTCTATATCTTCTTATTAAACTTGATATATAAGAAAAATTGCTTTTGAATGCTATTACTACATATTATTACTAATATAAGCACAAATCACTCTTTTTTGTTGTGCTTTTATTTTATGCAAGTGAAGAAAGAAAACAACTATGGTTGAGTTCTAAGGTAGATAAGATATGTATTTACATTGAAGCTTCCATCTATTTTTTCGATTGATTGCAAGCTCTCACTAATGCATGCAATTGATATTATATTTTGAGATGTTGAAATACAATACTTACTCTACTTGTGGCACATTGAAAAAAACATATTGTCACATATCAAATCCATTATCCAAGATGATACCAACTTTGAAACCTTTATGATTGCATAAAAGGCAATGGTTTATGCAACCAGTATCAAAGAGTACAAGAAAGCCTTGAATGGCCTAGAATGTAATTTTTATAGTATTGTCATGAGATATATTGATGTTGTTTGGCTACTTCCATATTACACAAAGTTTGTGAACCTTTGGACTAATCATATTTGCTATTATAGCCATTAAATAACATTGTGACTTGAGGATTTACATAGTACAATAAAAGGTTGGATCACAATATCTATATGCAACTTCAATGATGTATATAAAATAGATTAAGTTGGCCATCAATGCTCAAGTAGATAAAATTCAATAAAAGTTGGTTTTGAATGCCACATGCTACTTGAATACACTTTTTAATCCTATATAGTGCAAGGTTATTTATAAAATTTTGTATTATGCTTTGAAAGCAACTACAAAGGAATTTGAGCAAGTACAAAGCATATCCATACTAACTATACCTTATTCATGTGTGATTGCATTGTTGATGGATATTCCTTATCTACATATATTTTAGACGTTGATACAAGTTGGTAGGGCTTTGGAAGTTGACGATTTTAATCACTATTGGTGGCTTGAATTCTTCATAGCTTTGATTATGCTCCCTACAATGTTAAGTGTTGTATTAGAGCATGCTCACAAAGTGCATGATTTATTATAGCCCAATTACCAATATAGGCTCATAGATGGAATTATGAGCATTTCAAAAAGTGCAACCATTCTTGTTGCTGATCTAGTGCCCATTGCAATCCATCGTAGACTTACAAATACTTGAAAGAATCTTTCACTAATTGAGCATGCAATAACAAATCCATGCCAATGAAGGCATTGTCATTGAATTAGCCATGATTGTTGCAATTGTTCTACTTTCCAAGCAAAACATGGTTCTTGACTGTGGTTGCTTAGTTGTAACCATATCAATTCATTGACATTGGGCATATTTTTACATGGAAAATATTCAAATTTTGAAATTATGGTAGCATACTTATAATTATTGTTGCATAATGAAAGAATACAAAATTCCTCAAATACTTTGTTTCATTTATTACACCAATATATTGATCAAAAAATAATAATCAATAGGATATTTTTTCATTATAAATGAAAAAGTTGATGAATTGATGAATTCATTTATAGTTCATATGTAACAAAGTATGAAATAAATAAATAAATAAATAAATAAAAATTAATAAGATATTTGTTCATTATAAAATAAAATGTTGATGAACTAATGAGGCATATGTTCATTTATGTATTGCACAACTAAATTTGATTATTTCCTTAAATTACTATAGGATAAAAATTTTGGTATCTAAAAAATATATTAGTATTATTTTATAAATGTACATAAGAGACATTATCATTCAATCTTTTTAATGTATTTTAAAACTCTCTTTTAAATTACAATCTACATAACAAAAACAAAAATAATTGTTTTGAATTATACATTGTCATCTTACTTTAATTAAAAATTTACTTTTATTATATCTAAAGTAAATATTATTTATATCTATTGTGTCAATTCAAAAGAATTATGCTATTTATTCACTTTTAGTCTAATATTAATATTGTATACTTTAAAAATATCAATTATAGCTTAAAAAACTAAAGAAATTTAAAAATCTTTAAAAATATTTGTAAATTACTCTAATGAATAAAGTCTTCTTAAACAAAAATAACAGTATTAAATTTGTTATTTGTTAAATTATTTGTTTGATACTTTTCTATTTGCACCTTAAAGTAGTATTCAAAATTGAGAAATTCAAATATAATAAGTCCCATGTATATATAAAATAATAAGTCACTTTATAAATTCTTCTTGATATTAAACATAAAAAATGCACTATTTATTTAAAAAAGCAAGACAAAAATTAATGGATTACATTCTGCTTAAGTTATAGCAGAATGTAATCTAGAAATTTATTTTGCTACAATCCAATCTTGAATACAATAAGATTTAGCATGTGATTTGCAAATAATGCTATCCACAAAGAGATACTGGACCAAAACGAAAAAATCAACACATGAGGCTTGATGTAAAGCAGATGAGGAACATTAAAACAGTACACTAAAGCCTTCTGTAATCAAACCAGAGCTCACACTCCAACCAACAAAAAAGAAATCGTGCTGTGCAAATCAGATAATACTTCACACTTTCAGTAAACACAAAATGTCCTCCCATTTCCAAACCAGGAACGCCTTCCAGTATGCCTTCTTCAAAGTTCACGCCATGAACTTACACTCCTACTATTCGTTCGAAAAGGTCCAGAAACCGACCTCCGAAAACCTGTCTTAATTTCGAAATTAAAACCTCCAACAAGCACCCTTCCTCCGTAACCAAACCAAAAATGTTTAAACAATCAAAACTGCCAGTAAAAGCTCCACCACAAACATAACACAACCTCCAGAATAAACTCATCTCAATCGACATAACCTTACACTAATATAATATCAAATACACACAATTCACATGGTCCAAAAACTTAAACGGTTGACTGTGACATAATAGCAAAAGACTGATACGCAACCAATTTCAGTGTCATGTAAGGTCCCCGCCACAACTTCAACGCACAGCGAGTGCGAGTGATCAAATTCAAATCCACGCCAACCGCGCCTCAAATTTGAATTGTTCGATTCCTCGATGGCAATCGAAGCGGGCTCTGCTCGTCCGGTTTTGTCCACCACCAACACAAGCAAGGTGGGAATCCTGTGCCGAAGCAAACCTCTCGCTCATAGCCCATTACGCTGGAGCACTCTCATCTCTCTTTGCACTCGTCATCTCACTGACTCTGTTTCGGAGACCGTTCAGGAGCATGGGGAAGAGGAAGACCAAGAATGCACGAGACGGTGGTCCTTCACGCCCACGACCACGGCCACGGCCACGGGTGTCTGAACCTGATCGCAACCTCGGCGACATGATCCATGGCCCTCCCGCTTCTTGCGACGACGTCGCCGCTGTCAAGTCTCGTGTACAGTCCACCGTGCTGTCCTTGGAGGAGAAGTTGAACCAACTGCACGCACCGTGTTTGACGGACATAGAGACTTCCGGCGACAGGCTGCGCAAGCGGGTGAAGGTGAGGACACTGTGCAGGGTGTTGAATTCTTGCACGTTTGAGCATGGGTGAAGTCTCATCGTCTTGTTGTATGAAGGTGCATGATGCAATGTCCAGTGACGCAATCAGTGAATGCTCTTATTTCCGCAACGACACACACGCGCGTGTGCAATACTCAAGTACGTCTTCATGCCATGTTGGATAGCAGCCTGATATTGTCACTGGCATCTGCTGTGCATCAAGTGTGACACTCAGACCCTCAAAGCGCACGTTGTAGCGCTCGAGATACAAGCAGGCGAATCCATGGCCCAGTTCAACGACGACTTTCAGGAGATCCAGGTTCGCAGGAATAAACCGACTCGAGCGTGTGATTGAATGCATGTCTGAAGATGATTACATCGTCGCGAGAGGTTTTGCCATGCGCATGAGACATGTTCCCTGCGCAACACCTCCCACAAACACCGAAACCGCCCTTGTTGTGTGATCAACTTCTGCTGACCTTCCAATCGCAAACAAATAAGTGACCTCGATGCATGCACAGCTTCCGTTAGTTGGAGAGAGCACTCTGCGGTCGACATGTTGGCTTCCAAAGCTAATTCACTTCAGATCCTCTCGAGGATTGACCTTTGTGTGCAGGATGCGTGCAAGGACATCTGCACCAAAGCGCAGTCCGCCATAGCCCACTGTAAGAACATCTCACTCTGCACAGTAGGCCATGCATGCAGAACAGATGAACCGATTTCTCTCGTGATACACACATCGCATTGCCATCTCGGCACTGGATCGTCACACGAGACACAGAGAATGCCTGTTCAAATGCAATTGCCGTCCTCTCTAAATTGGCCTGGGAGTGCACCATTATCAAGCGCCTTCATTCCGCTCATCGACACTGAGCCGACTGCAGTGATCGTGATTCTTCTTCATCACAAGTGGTGTGTGCTTTTCGTGCAGTGATGAAGCATGCAGCTCAAGACACCCTTCTTTCCTCGACGAAGAGCGTGGAGGCACTCCGCAGGAGACATTTCTCGAGTTGATCCACAAGAGACACACATCAACTGAACGTTCAGCGCAGCCGAGACTCTCCTGTTTTTTTTTTTTTTTACTTTTTTTCACTTTCTGGTTTCTTACTGACTTTCTGATCTGCACCAGAGGTACAATCCCAACCTCGGCTATGATCCAGGTCGTCGAGAGGTCGACCGAACACATGTGAAATTGGTCGCATCCAAAACATGCAATTACATGCTGCATATTAGCACCCATTTGAAAAGTGAACAATGCTGTCTGCGATCCGTCCAATCTCCGCCTGTGTTCGATAATCTCCAGCGTGGACCGACCTGATAAAATCAGGTCTGCACGTGTACCCCATCATACAGGAGACGTCAAACCCTCACACATGTCCACATGCCCAACACAACAGCTGTGCATCCTCAAACCACAGCCTCTTGCG